CAAGTTCAACATTTAGTTAAAAATTGCTGCCGCCAATGTAACCCCTCACTCCCAGGTCCTCACCGCTATACCTCGTTCTCGTTCCGAGTGGGTCTCGAACCCGGATCTCCGGCATGGGAGGCGGACGCACTAACAAGGAGGCTAAAGACTGCAGCCACTAGTGTCAGTCGCTAGTGCGTCTCTTGAGATCAGGGGAGTGAGGTTTACCTGCACAGCACCTACTCGCTGGCCTCCGTTACACTCACCCCCCTAAGCCTTACTCCCATCCGGGTCACGGCACCAATGTAACCCCTCTCCCCCGGGTCCTCACCGCCACACCTCGTTCTCGCTCCGAGTGGGTCTCGAACCCGGGTGTCCGGCATGGGAGGCGGACGCACTAACAAGGAGGCTAAAGACTGCAGCCACTAGCGTCAGTCGCTAGTGCGTCTCTTGAGATCAGGGGAGTGAGGTTTACCTGCACAGCACCTACTCGCTGGACTCCGTTACACCCACTTTCCCTGGGTTTTGAGATGTCTGTGTTTTGTATGTAACGTAAGTGTGTTTCAGATGTCAGTAGAAAGACTCAACATTGCTACCACAGTGGTGGGTCAACCAAGGTCACTCAGTTTGGTTGAAGCAATCGATGGCAGAGCTGTTTTACTAAACTATTTTTGTCATGTTTATGAAGTTGCGTTGAATCTTAAACTAAGTGGCATGTGTTTTAAATAAAGGTAACACTCCAAGGAGCACATTTCAAGTTTGTTAGGTTTCAAATTATAAAATGAGATATACATATATAAAAAAAGAGTAGGCTATTCGGTGGCCTTCTGTTTTGCAGATTTTAGTGGAACATGTGCATAGTTAATGTGATGAACTAGACGTGTGGTGACTAATAGGACATCTGTGTTCATATGTCCATATTACAGTATATGCAGATTCATTTGATAAGGTTTGTAATGTAATTACATTTAGTCATTTCCACATTTGTCAAGTCAAGTATATACACACAGTTACCTTTGCCCCGTCCCGAAAAAAAAAGGTCCTTAAATGCAGTTGCTAGGTTTTCTGGGCCCCTTGTACAGTTTATTGCATTAGGCCTCCTAGCTAGCGACATCCCTGTTAAAATACTACAACGTTTAATTGACATGTAGGCTAACCAATAAGTTGTGTTTTCATTCATTCATTCACATGGCCTATTTACGAGTTAGTCAAAGCGTGTATTTTGGCGCCAAACAAAAGCTAGTGCTGAGGAGGTAACCATAGCAACAGTGAGCTAACAGGAACGGTTTCCCTTAGTTTCCCAGACGCTACAAAACATTGACAAAATATTAAAATAAGCTTAAAAGGATAGTTCACCCAAAAATGAAAATTACCCCATGATTTACTCACCCTCAACCATAGGTGTATATAACTTTCTTCTTTCAGATAAATACAATCGGAGTTATATTAAAAAATGTCCTGGCTCTTCCAAGCTTTATAATGGCAGTGAATGGGTGTTATTTTTCAATAGTCCAAAAGAAGTCCAATATAGCGCATCCATCCATCATAAAAAGTGCTCCACACGGCTCCAGGGGGTTAATAAAGGCCTCCTGAAGCGAATCGATGCGTTTTTGTAAGAAAAATATCAATATTTAAAACTTTATAAACTGTAATCTCTAGTTTCTGCTAACTGTCGTATGTGCGTACATGAGAGAGTGGCGTTCCAGCGGATGATGTAAGTGTAGCGTAAGGTCCGGCGAGAATATGCTTGTCTCGCGAGAACCAAATTCTGTTTACAGGAGCAAAGGAATCAAAGCTTCCTTTGATTAGCAAAGGAAAACCAGTCTGTCTCCTCTTGGCATGTTACAGTCCTCTGACATTTTCCTTTACAAATCCTCGTTTTGACCGGTGTTTTGTTTTGCTCTCTCCGCTTCTCTTCCGCATTCGTCACTTCTCACGGAGCTTACGCTACGCCTACGTCATCCGCTGGAACGCCACTCTCTCGTGAACCTGCATATGACAGTTAGTAGAAGCTAGAGATTACTGATTACAAGTTTTAAATATGGGTATTTTTCTTACATAAATGCATCGATTCGGAGTAAATCATGGAGTAATTTTCATTTTTGGGTGAACTATCCCTTTAATGTCATTTAACAATTTAAAACACAAGTACGTAAGTAAATAAATAAATAAATAAGACAAGCGAAATGAGCTTCAACGTATTTCGCCCTCAAAATTATGCAAACTTTCTCATAGCTTTATTTTGTACTCAGGTTGTCGTCTATATGCTTCATTCACAAAAACCCTAACTCAGTAGATTTATTTTTAGTTTTCCGAAACAAAAACTGTCAAAGATATTTTCATTTGCGCTGTGAAATTCAATCTGAGAGGAGCTCAGCGCGGTATGAAGACGCAGCGGGAGAGAGCCGCAATAAATACTTGTAAGTTGATTGACAAGGCTCGTTATCTCTCCCCCTGCAGTCGCCTGCAGCTCAGCTTCTGTTTCTCGTTTGGGATAGAAAGTGTTGAGCGCTGCAGAGTCTCAGAGGACCCGCAGACTCACCCGCTCAGGGCCGTTCAGGTCAAACCGGTCAGCTGGTTTATGTGACGTTATGAAGCTCTTGGACGCTTTGAGCTGCTCGTGTCTTTGGGAAACGGGAATTTAACTGGATTATATTCTAATCGGTTTATTAAACAATATCTGCTGGACTTGGTTCAAGAGGATGGAATTGAGGAAAATTGTACCAAGCCTGCTTGTCCTTTATGCTGCGTTTGGCCACTTCTCCGAATCGTCGGAATTTAAAGGTGGGCTTTTTATTTTGAATCACACAGTACATCTTAAAATGTAATATAAACTCCGATTTGTATGTTGTGGTTTTTTTTCCATTGGACTTCCTTTGGATTGTGACAATTAGCTTACAAGTGATGGTGTAAGTTCAGTGCTTTCACATTCTTGGTGATATAAAGTGGTCATCTAGTTAGCTGTGCGGTTAAACCGTTAATTCCGAACCCAAATTGTCCTTTATTGTCTCATTTCATGCTCCCCCCAGCGACCTAGTCAGCGCTCAGAGACAATGCGCCCAAACAATGAGATAATAACATGCAAATGGAAGCTGTTATCCATACAAACAACGATTGTCAGAAACTAACTTTTTAGTAAGTGGCAATATTTGCCCCCTAGATTTTTTGAATGGTCCTTCTTTGTCATTATGGCATGTTCAGAAACAAAAGTTATTTTCTACATTATTGCACAAAGTGTTTGCATGTAATTATTAAAATAATAATAATAATTTGCACAACAAATAATTGGCTGAATGATGTCAGTGTCCTTCCAATGACAAGCGTTTGCATATCAGTAGAATTATAAAGAAGACAAATAAAAGACGATATTAAACAGTGAAGTGTGCAAGAAGAGGGATAACAAAACATATAAATGTTTGTTTCATATATGTATATGTTTTAGGGCTCAGTGGAGTCTGTTAAACTGGCTCTCGGAGGCTCTTTAGCAACAGCTGGTCTCCTCATTGACTGTCCATTCAAAGGAGATTCAACTATCAACAATGCAGGTAAGCACTATTCTTACAGCATAAGAGGAACTTGTAATGTTTTTCACATACTGTATTTAAAAAATTACATTCTGCACAGTATAGTATTCCATTCTAAACATTGCCATGTTATCATACTGCCCTCTTGTGACAATGAATAAATACCACAGATATTAGTCCTTCAATCAATTCATGAATTTTGAATGAATGAATGATGCATATCTTGAAATGTAGAGAATGTGATACACACTACCATTCAAAAGTTTGGGGTCAGTAAGATTTTGTAATACTTTTATTAAGCAAGGATGCTTTAAAAAGTCTAATGATGTATGGTCAAAAGATACATACACACATTTATAATGTTGCAAAATATTTCAATTTCAAATAAATAATGTTCTTTTGAACTTTCTGTTTATCAAAGAAACCTGGAAAAATGTGCCACAGTTTCCACAAAAATATGAAGCAGCACAACAACTGTTTTCAACATAATAATAATAAATGTTTGTTGAGCAGCAAATCAGCATATTAGGATGATTTCTGAAGGATCATGTGACACTGAAGACTGGAGTAATCATGCTGAAAATTCAGCTTTGCATCACAGGAATAAATAAAATTTTACAATATATTAAAATAGAAAACAGCTATTTCAAATTGCAACAATATTTTGTTTTTTACAGTATTTTTGATCAAATAAATGCCACCTTGGTAAGCATGACTTCTTTCAAAAACACTAAACATCTTACCAACCCCAAACTTTTGATCAGTAGTATAAATATATACATTTGTTTTTGAACTAGAAACATTTGATAAAATGTGACTGTTGTTTCTTTACAGTAGGCAGTGACATTAATGCAATCCTCGGTAAATATCAACAAAGATTCAATCATATGTGAATGTACTATCGCAACTGAATTATTTTCATGCCTGTAATGCTCTCTGTGATAATAATAAAAAGAGCCTCTGATATGGCCAGGTGATCACACCAAAGCTCTGATTGGACAGCTGATCATCTTTAACCAGATCATGGGAGAGCTGAGAGAGGATATCAGAGAACAGGTAAGAGAAAGCCATAGAGGAATGAATGAATGAGGATGAATGAAGGAACTGGCTTGGATGTCTTCAGAAGCTCTATAACTGAATAACACAAAGCCAGTCTACAAATCACTTAACTATAGCTGTCTCTGCATATTAAGCTTGGATTGGAGGACATATTTTATTACAGACTTCTGTTTCTAATTGGGACCGTGCATTTTATCAAATTAAATTCTTTCTACTTTGATGTGTTTTCAGACAAAAGAGATGTCTCTCATCAGAAACACCATTCTTGAATGTCAAGTGTGTGGTAAGGGATGGAGAAAGAGCTTGGGCAGGAGATGGCAGACCATGTCTGAAGATTGTTGTGGTATAGAGGTAATCTGTATGTGTGTCTCTCTGTTTCTCAGGATTCCATGAGCCTCAGTCCCGATGTCATCCTAACCCCTGCTATAATGGCGTGGGCTGCATGGAGAGCATGATGTTCCCAGGATATCTGTGTGGCCCCTGTCCAGAGGGCATGACTGGAAATGGAACACACTGCCAGGACATCGACGAGGTTCCTTCAGATTGCATATTATTATTATTATTAATATTATTATTAGTGTTTGCTAAGGCAAAAAATACTAATTTTATTACCTGAGTCATGCCCCTGTGAAAAAGAAATCCACTTAAAGGGATAGTTCACCCAAAAATGAAAATTACCCCATGATTTACCCACCCTCAAGCCATCCTAGGTGTATGACATTCTTCTTTCAGACGAATACAATCAGAGTTATATTAAATAATGTCCAGGCTAATCCATGCTTTATAATGGGAGTGGATGGTAGCCCAAAATTTGAAGTCGAAAAAACTGCACCCATCCATTATAAAAGAAGTCCACACGGCTCCGGGGGGTTAATAAAGGCCTTCTGAAGCGACGCAGTGCATTTGTGTATAACTTTATAAACCTTTATCCCTAGCTTCCGCTAACTGCCATACGCGCGTTCACGAGGGAGTGGCGTCCTGCGGATGACATAGGAAGTAGGCGTAACATAAGCTCCGGTGAGCGTCTGAAAGAAGAAAGTCATATACACCTAGGATGGCTTGAGGGTAAATAACAAGCTAATTTTCAGTTTTGGGTGAAATAACCCTTTAAGCATACTTTTAAAATGAGTACTTATTAAATATTGAAATAATGAACTTTAAAAGAATATACTTGTATGCAAATTGAGTGTAATGTCTTTAGACACTGTATTGCCTGTTAATTGCAATTGAATTATACTATATTATAATAAATGCAATTAGCTGAGTGCTTTTTTGACCCACTTAATTAGGACTTAAGTACATCTTTATATGTAATTTCATAATTATTTCTATTTTCTTTGAAATATGGTTAAAGTGCACTGCTGAATGTACTGACAAGCATCTATGAAAAAACAAAATATACTTTAATGTATTCTATAGTAATTGTATTTCATGCATTTAAATATGTTTGTAATTACACATTTGTAACACTGAAGTTGCAATTTAGTATGTTTAAAATATAACTATAAATGTAATATTGAATATTACCATTAAAATTACTTTAAAAAAGTACTTTACGTGTGCTTTACTATGTTAGTCAACACATCAAAATAAGTGTATTTCTTTAAATCACGACAACAGATGAAAACTGTATTTACAACAGTAAAACTTAATTTGACATTATTACAAAGTGCACTTTTTAGATGTGTTAAGAAACATAAAAGTGTAATCTCTGTAAGTTCTCTGTAAGTAACCTTTTATTTCATTAATATTATATTTGAAGTACGCTACAAGTGCACATTTAAAAAAATTCAATACAATTTTCCGCTTTACTTTTCTTTTTCTCTCTCAATATCTGTCTTTGTCATAGTGTACCGCTCAGCCCTGTTTCTCTGCAGAGTTGTGTGTGAACACAGCTAAAGGCTTCACCTGTGAGTCCTGTCCCATAGGATTCACTGGTCCAACACTCAGGGGGGTGGGTTTTGAGTTTGCCAAGAGCCACAAGCAGGTAAAATGTGTCAAAATCTAATTACAACATAATTTTACTTTGAAGTGAATAGTCTTTTACTGTGTGAATGTTGTTTATTTGTCAGGACTGTGTTGATATTGACGAATGTACTGAGCACTTTGGTGCCTGTGTGCCCAACTCAGTCTGTATAAATACAGTGGTGAGTAAACTGTCTAAATTTGCATATAAATAATAAACACTAGAATTGGCAAGTTGCATAGCAGCCATAAGCAATGAAATGTGAATGTACTAATGAAACGGAAGGCTCTCTTTTCATAGGGATCGTTCAAGTGTGGCCAGTGTAAAGCAGGATTTGTTGGTAATCAGACTGCAGGCTGTTTTGTAAGCAGGACGTGTGAAACTCTGGGCTATAAGCCCTGTGATGTGAATGCACACTGTGTGATGGGCCGCAACAGTGACATTTCCTGTGTGGTGAGAATCTAAAAACTTCATAGTACTTCATAGTAAATCCTGACAATTTCCGACCTGGAAATGTTGAATGCAAAATCATTAATTTGTATTTAAAGCATATGCAGCTCTTAACTGAGACAACAAATTCTTTAATGTTTTGGAGTACATCTTTGCTTCTTTCAAAAACTGAAAAAAGAACAACCAGGAATTGTCCATATAGCTGATTTTTCTCTCCATTTTATGTCTTGCAGTGTAACATCGGCTGGGCAGGTAATGGTAAAATTTGTGGTCCAGACTCAGACATTGATGGTTACCCAGATGGCCCTCTTCCATGCATTGACAACGACAAACACTGCAGAGCGGTACATACTCAGTTTTTAGGAGGAAATTCACTATGAATGAATTGCATGTTGCAGCGTAATACCGGTCCAAATAGCACATATTAAATTGGATTGCAAGTAGGTTTTATGCATAAAAAGTGGTATGACTGTTTACTGAATTTGCCCCATTTTAGACAATTCATTATTTACAACCCTTTGAATGGTTTTCTGCTTAACTGATGACCGTTCTCCATCAGCAAAACATATATACTTTAATTTCGGTTAGGATAATCATTTTGGTATAATATGCATATAAATTTGTTATAATCCATTGAATAATAATAATAATAAAAAAATTGAATAATAATTTGAATATCCCTGTGCAGGACAACTGTGCAAATACCCCAAACTCTGGGCAAGAGGACACAGATGGAGATGGGATTGGTGATCAGTGTGATGAGGATGCAGATGGAGATGGAATTAAAAATGTTGAGGTTACTGATCAAGTGGTGAAAAATTTAAAAAATATTTGAACAAGCATTCAATGCCAAACTGTTTTCACCTGGGCTGGTGTACTTGAAAATGTCTTTTTTATTATTTAGAAATTAATTGTCTATGGGGCAGATTCTAAGCAGTAGCTATTTTAATTTTGCATGTATCCAGGACAACTGTCGTCTGGTCCCTAATAAGGACCAGCAGAACTCTGACACAGACTCCTATGGCGATGCTTGTGATAACTGCCCAAACGTTCCCAATGGAGATCAGCTTGATACTGATGGCAATGGCAAGGGAGACATCTGTGACAATGATATTGATGGAGATGGTCAGTCCCATTCACTTTTAACTGTTCTGTGGTTTACGGCATTGTACCACATTATTTGTTCTCACCACTTTATTTTTTTACAGGCATCCCTAACGTGTTGGATAACTGTCCTAAGATACCCAACCCCATGCAGACAGACCGAGATGGAGATGGTGTGGGTGATGCCTGTGACAGCTGTCCTGAGGTCAACGATCCATTGCAGGTAGGGTTGTCTCGGTACCGGCAGGGATTGTAGGTGGGGGGAGTGAATGACCAGTGCTCTCTTTCACCCTCAACACCACAACTGAGATGAGACCCTTGAGCAAGGCACTGAACCCCCAACTGCTCCCCGAGCGTCGCAGCAAAAATGGCTGCCCACTGCTCCAGGTGTGTGTTCACAGTGTGTGTGTGCACTTGGATGGGTTAAATGCAGAGCACAAATTCTGAGTATGTGGGACACCACACTTGGCTACGTCACATCACTTTCACTTTTAAAACTGTGTATCATCTGTGTAGAAGTCATAATAGAAGTAGCTTTTATGATAGTGCCCAGTGAGTTTGTGTATATCAAGAAAAGCATAGGTCCAAGCACTGAACCTTGTGGCACCCCAATAACCTAGATGTTATCACATTAAGTACGAGTTCCACAACACGTCAACTTAAGCAAACTTTGATCATATTCCTCAACATATGAAGACTCAAAACAAATCATTCATGATTGACCCATCACTAGTTCAGAAATTGGATAACTACAGATGCAGTAGCTCATGTTAGGGTTAACTGCTGTTTTTCAGCTAATAAGAGGTGAGCACTTGAATGACATCAGTTAAATGTACCAAGTACAAGATTTCTTCCATAATTATTATTAAAAGCATATATGTAATAAATAAAATAAAGTTGATTGGATTTTGTGAACAATAGTGGCACTTGAGTCAGTGAAGGCAAAGAGACAGGTAGCCACCCTGCTTTTCAAATATGAATTCAATGATTAATTTCCATATTTTACTGTTTTTGCAGTCAGATATGGACAACGATTTGGTGGGAGATGTATGTGATACAAACAAGGACATGTAAGTACTTGTGTAAATAAATGCTTATTTTACCCAAGTACAGGTATAGTGATTTTTACTGTTCTCTTAAAGGGTTATACTTGAATTAAGTTAGTTTCCTTTTGGTTTATGTCAGTTTCATTATTCTTTTTGCAGTGAGATTCGTTACTCAGCAATCTGCTTGTCATTCATTCTTTAACGCTCTAGTGAAAAAGATTCTCTGTGTGTAGGGATGGTGATGGATATCAGGACACGCGGGATAACTGCCCTGAAGTGCCCAACAGTTCTCAGCTGGACTCAGATAATGATGGCATCGGGGACGAGTGTGATGATGATGATGATAATGATGGAATTCCAGATATCCTTCCTCCCGGCCCAGATAACTGCAGACTTGTTCCCAACCCCAGTCAAAAAGATACTGATGGTCTGATTCTTAATTCTGAGTTTTGGAAAAGCATACTAGCATACTACTAAAAGTAATATATCTGACTTCTGGAGTTAATGATGTTTGACTGGAGTTTTTACACAAAATTTGATTAAAGCTGCAAAATAACAACTTTTTATTTTTGAGATGATATCTGGACCATACATAATGTGTGCGGTTTCGCAGACTTTTCATTAAAAAAACTAGTATGCAGTAACCAGTATACTAGTATTATTTTCCAAAGACACCTTACATATTATGTATTGTTTTACTGATCCAATTTAGAAATGAACATGTTTGTTTCGTACCTTTTCTCACATCAGCCAATGGAGTTGGTGACATGTGTGAGACAGACTTTGACAATGATAAGGTGACTGACTTGTTGGATGCGTGCCCTGAAAGTGCAGAGGTCACTATGACAGATTTCAGGGCATTCCAGACAGTCATTCTCGACCCAGAAGGAGATGCTCAGATCGACCCCAATTGGGTGGTACTAAATAAGGTGATCATTAAACACAAATGATCATTTACAGTAATTATAATTTTAGGCCTTTATTTTATCAGCTAGTCTCTGAGCTTTTACTATATTTTGTGCTCATTGTAGACTAAGTCTGTGAAGAATTATAAAACAGCTTTGGTGTTTTTATAGGGAATGGAGATTGTGCAGACCATGAACAGCGACCCTGGTTTGGCTGTGGGTACGTATGTAAACATATTTTCATAGAGACTCCATAAAATCAAAACTTGCATTTGTGACTTTTACATTTCCTTCTCTTCCAACAGGCTGACAGGCATCTCTGTGTCTCAACGGCTGTATTAACCTCTTTATTCTTTATTTAGGCTACACGGCATTTAATGGTGTCGATTTTGAGGGCACAATCCATGTGAACACGGCCACTGATGATGATTACGTGGGCTTCATCTTTGGCTATCAGGACTCTTCAAGCTTCTATGTAGTAATGTGGAAACAGACAGAACAGACGTATTGGCAGAATTTACCTTTCAAAGCCTCAGCTCAGCCTGGAATACAGCTTAAGGTGAGAGTAACCTCAAAATACAAATTAAAATTAAGGCTGTCAATTGATTCAAATATGTAATTGAATTATGCACATGATATGCAAGTTAATCTAAACTTAATGTGAATATTTGCTGAGAAAAACAAAGCAAGGGAAGTACATTATTGTGACAGATGAATAAAGCATTGAATAAAGGAAAGTAAAAAAGTGTAGCACTTTTTAGGAATGTGGAGGAAAAAGAGGGGAAAATTGGATTGGGTCATAATATATTTAAAATGTAATTTATCCCTGTGATCAAATCTGAAATCATAGAAATCATTCTAATATGCTGATTTGATCCTCAAGAAACATTTCTCATTAGTAGTTTCAATGTTGAAAACAATTGTGCCGTCTCATATTTTTGTGAAAACCATGATACTTTTTTTTCAGGATTCTTTGGTGCACAGAAAGTTTTAAATATTTAAAAAACGGTCACTTTTTATCAATTTATTCAGCATCCTTGTTGAATGAAAGTATTATTTCCCTTAAAAAAATAAATCTTGCTGACCGTAAACATTTGAAAGTATAGTATATAAAAGTAGTGTATACATGTAACTATTCATGTTTAAAGGTTTTGCTAACATCACCAAGCAATTTCTGTCTCACTCTTCCAGGCAGTGAAGTCTCGTACAGGTCCTGGTGAGTATCTGCGTAATGCCCTGTGGCACACAGGAGACACACCAGGGGAAGTTACTTTGCTCTGGAAGGACCCAAGAAATGTGGGCTGGAAGGACAGAACGTCCTATCGCTGGCACCTCACTCACCGCCCACAGGTGGGCTACATACGGTGAGAGCTAATCTGACTTTAAACTTTAAGAGATACACAAAACAAGTACTGTATATCTCTTACTACTAAATCTCGGAAAAAGTTTTCTGACTGTATTCTCAATATCTATGGTGTAGATTAAGATTGTATGAAGGTACAGCCCTAGTGGCAGATTCAGGAGTCGTGATAGACACAACTATGAGAGGAGGGCGGCTGGGCGTCTTCTGCTTCTCTCAGGAGAACGTCATATGGTCTAATCTCGGCTATAGATGCAATGGTAAGCAGCATGATTCGAGAAGCATTCTGAGTATCTGAGGGTCAATTTGACAGTTGTTTTTGTTTGGACATTTGAGCACATGCAGTTCAGATACAGTGTTTGAGTTTCTCAGATTGACTCACTTTTTGTATATCGCACAGATTCCATCCCAGATGACTTTATTCTGAAGCAGATGAATGTGAGGACATAAGCATCCCCTCATCTCAAGAAGCTATGTCTACATGTGTGCTTGTGTATATGTGTGTGTTTGGAGTGGTAGGAAGAGATAATGATTGAAATTAGTTTTTTATCTTGTGCAATTCTAAATCAGAATTATAAACTACACAGCGCAAGTTTGCATTGTGCACCAACATGAGTATTATGGTGTGGTATAGGAAAAATTGTTTACTCAACAAACCCTTAAATATAAAGCTAATGGAATAAATGTTCTAAAGATTTAAAAGCAAATAAGCAATTAATAAGGTTGTAAAATAATGCAGGCAGTAAAAAAATGACTAAATAAGTTGACTGTGAATTTGACGGTTTGCAAACATTGTTAATAAAAATGTGTTCACAGACGTTTGTCCATGAAACATATGCACAGTCGTGTTTCATTGTAAACCCCATAATGTGTTGTCTTGATTCAGTGATTCAGCACTTTTCTCATGGTTTTCCCATCCCGTTCCTCACAAAGCCTCTTTCATCCAAAGAGACCGATTGTGAGGTTTTGGTCATTTCAGTACCATGGACAGGGCTCTACTACATATTTGCCATGCAGTGTGCTGCAAGAATTTACTGAAGAAACTAAATAAGGGCATTTACAAAAATGCTTTAGCACAGACATAACCCAATTGGTGATTTGAAATGGTGAGAGATTAGGAGCCGCAGCAGTATAAGCAAGACAAGAGTATGCCAGTAACAAGTTAAAAGAATTCACAGATCTATTGTGTTATACTTTAAATGTTAATAGAATAAAACGAGTCTAAATCAGTACTGTTATGATTTATGCTCTCTAATGCTATCCAGTGTTTTCATGTAATGTGATTGATGGGGGTTGGCTGGCACAGGGTTCATTTCTGGTTCATAAATAGATGCTGTCACAAAATGTAGCATCTGAATGTCAATGTTTTTCCTCTCAACTCACGCTAGATTAAAAAAAAAAAGAAAAACATAACCTGTCAAGGTGTGGACATGTGTGATATTTCAAATATTCATGTAACATTAAAAGTTAACTCCCCCAGTTATAAATGTTATGAGAATGATTTAGAGAAAAATTATTAAAAGTTATTAATGTTATATCATACATAGATACAAACTTTATATTTTTATATAATTAGAAGATAAATGATGCTGCCTGGCTTTTGCTTCGCATTTAATAAAGAATTATCAGTTATTCATGTTTTAGGATTTACCTCTAAATACACACATATTGCCATAACCACCATAGATCAATATTCAGATTAGCAATCAATAAATTTGTGTTCATCAGTGTTTGATTATAAACATATAACATTTGCCTTTATACAAATGTTTCCTGCAATACTATCAGTTTTTACAAACAGCTGCATTGTGTAAAAATTCTAAAATCTCTGCAGTTCTTTTTACACACATGAACAAGTATTTCAGTACGTTTCTATTCTTGACACAGAAGTTGTATATATATGTCGTATAAACCAGAAGTCCCACTTCTGGTTTATAATTTGATTTGTGAATCAACAGATTAGTTTATTTAAATTTCATATACAACACTCTAACAAACAACTTGTTTAAAAGAACTACAACAACAATATATTATTACTTTCACATGCTTCAGCTGGACCCACAAAGATTACACAAACTGTGACAGTGTATAGACCTACATTCAATTTCTATGGCCCTTTAATGTGTAGCATATAAAGATGGGAACATTATACATTAAAGCAGCACTATGTAACTTTTTCATTTCAAAATTTGCAAAATGTATATAATGAGCGAGTACATCATGAATTCATCTTCCAAACCGCGTTTTTGTCTTATTCCGAATCACTACGGTACACTTATAATAAGTACTTATATTTGGACTATTGTAGCCTGGTCGGGTCGTCGCCGCTGCGGAGTAACACATACCTGCGTGAACCGCCAGAGACATAAACTTAGAGAAGTAGCTCCGGTTGGAATGTTCTTCCGCGGGATATGTGCAGTTCTGTTTATTAACCGCTAGAGCGCCAAAAGTTACATAGTGCTGCTTTAATGTTTAAAGTACATACATGCAAAACACTTGCAGTTACAAAAGCATTGTGCCAACACTCTCTGGTATCTTCATTGCATGCTACTCACTACAATGTGATTTGACTGCCTCGGCAGCATTGTGCAGTGCAAAGCATAAAATCAACAATAGAGAAACTTGCATAAAATGATCACATAGGTCGAATGAGGTTAATAGGATATTGGGTTATTATGAGGGACATTTTTGCTCCATCTAGTCTACATAAACATATTACTATATTCTAACTGGGTTGCCTCTGACTGAGATCACATGGTTTCATGGGTCTAATATCACTGAGACAGGAACCCAGAGAAAACTAACAAGGTTAATGTTAGGGACATAATGTTTCTTATTTCTGATTATGCATGTACATATGGCTGTAATAAAATACAAATTCAACAAAAAAGTGGGAGAGCAAGTTTTGGCTATTTTGAGACTGTCATCTAAATGTTTCAAATGAATAAGCATCTAGGTTCTCTCATAGTTATTCAATACTAGCATTCATAAAGTGAAGTTTTATATTATGTGTGTATTTCCTATTATTATATTATTATTCCTAGGCACTACAATAGCATAGTTATCGATACACATAGGCCTACTACAGTGGCCTTGGTGATATAATGTCATTTTACTGTCCATTTTTCTCCTCTCTCACTCGTTTACTTTGTTATTCATTCATGCTTTCACTTTTGGTCAAACAGGCTTCAACTGCATACATTGCAGTGATAGAAGCTTCTCTAAAAGAGTGTCCCAGATTTCAAAATAAACTGTAGATTATAAAATATGTTCCTTTACCTAAGTGTGCGGATTGCACTAATTCATCCTAGAATTATGTGCCATGAAAAACACAAATTCTCTTGAATTGGTTTGTAAGTGGCAAAATCTTTTTCCTTTACATATTAGCCAGGAGAAGGAAATGATCCAATTGTTTGGACAGAGAGCAAGTTTCAAAGGGCCAAAAACAGCAAATCAAACAGAGAGGGGAACCTGAAACTTCAGCAGATTTTCAAAAACATAATGTCTAATGTTTTCTCATACAGTTTCAATAATAAAAGATGGTCATGTTATATGATGTCAGTTGTAATTTCTCATTTTTAGAGAAAGTAGGGTCTTCTACCAGCGGAGTTCAAATCAAAGTCACAGTCTATAGAATTTTAGACCACTAGGGGGCAGCATACAACTGAATGTAAAATACAACACCGCAGAAAACAACAAATCTCTTTCAGTTTGTTTGCTGCTTTAAGACTGCAAATTCAGTGGTCACAATTGTGTCACTATTTATGACACAATTAACTAAGGTTCAGTCAGTGTTTAATACCCCTGTACTTTACATATGTGTTAGTATGTTAGTCAGCACATCAAAATAAGTGTATTGACATTATAATCAAGTGCACTTTTCACCCTACTTTATGTTCTTTCCTCCTTCTGAGCAACACTTTGTTGAATTTGCTGAGCCGTTTTGTAATCAAGTGATCAAACAGTTTCTGTGCTGGTGTGATCATATCAGCTCCATGTTACGCTGCTACTTAAGTGTTCACCAAGGCTGCACTTCTTTGATCAAAAATACAATATTCAAAAGAACTGTTTTCTGTTGGAACATATTTTAAAATGTAATTTATCCCTGTGATGCAAAGCTGAATTTTCAGCATCATTAATCCAGTCTTTAGTGTCACGTATCCTTCAGAAAGCATTCAAGAAACATTACTTATTATTAGTGTAGAAAACGTCTCAGGTTAGGCATGTAACCATGGTTCCCTGAGAACAGGGAACGAGACGCGGGGGGGGGTTTCAGGTTCAAGTACCAGCTCCAGATGGCTGTTTGCCGCGTCCGCGCTGGATCTTTTCCCTTAGATCCCTTCTCCTTTCTCTGAACTCCCGCCTCCTCTGCGATCTACTCGGAGGACCTCTAGTCCAAGTTAAATGGGTCAGATTTTGCCCTGATCTCTCAAGAAACTCAGTTGATATGAGTAAAATAATAAGATTACTACAAAATTGGTACAGCACTAATCTATGCAAAAAAAAAAGTCTGAGACCACTGGTGAAAATGCTTCTATTTTCATAATTGAATGCAGTTTTCTTTACAAATTATACAATTTGAGTGAGAAGATGAACATTTCGTAGTATTTGGTAACCAAATTTTGGTTTATCACTTTCATGTTGTTCCAACCCGTCTGACTTTCTTCTGTGGAGGGTTCTGATGACCCTCTAGTCCAAGTTAAATGGGTCAGATTTTGCCCTGATCTCTCAAGAAACTCAGTTGATATGAGTAAAATAATAAGATTACTACAAAATTGGTACAGCACTAATCTATGCAAAAAAAAAAGTCTGAGACCACTGGTGAAAATGCTTCTATTTTCATAATTGAATGCAGTTTTCTTTACAAATTATACAATTTGAGTGAGAAGATGAACATTTCGTAGTATTTGGTAACCAAGGTTTATCACTTTCATGTTGTTCCAAACCGTCTGACTTTCTTCTGTGGATGAATTTTAGTAATGTGCGGTTCACACTTTTTTCAGTGCATTTATAATTAATGTGGACTCTCAGTATTTCAAGCTTCAAAACACACACAAAAACAAAATAAAACGATCTAGTTGCAAACCTTAACAAATTTAGTTCATATACAACTTCTTAAAAAAATAGCTATTTGAACATATATATATATATATATGTATATATGTAGGCTATATTGTGCTGTTGTAGGGTTTTGATGATAAATGTGTACTAGTGGTTCTGATGACCCTCTAGTCCAAGTTAAATGGGTCAGATTTTGCCCTGATCTCTCAAGAAACTCAGTTGATATGAGTAAAATAATAAGATTACTACAAAATTGGTACAGCACTAATCTATGCAAAAAAAAAAGTCTGAGACCACTGGTGAAAATGCTTCTATTTTCATAATTGAATGCAGTTTTCTTTACAAATTATACAATTTGAGTTTTTTTTCAGTGTTCCACAGATAAAAAGAAAGGTTTGAAACAACATGAGGCAGAATAAATGATTTGATGATAAATTTGATAAATGATAAATGATGTGATTTGATGATAAATTTGCATTAACCAGTGTTAACTAATGGAACTTTATTGTAAGTGTTACCCAGAATTTTCTTTTTTGGGTGAACTAATCCAGTTAACATGGTAAATGTGACAAACTTGACTTATTTAATGAGTGACAGAGGGAAATAGTGACAGAGAGAATCTTTAATATATTTGTCATTGTTTTACATGTTGATAAATAAATACTTACAAGTAGCTTACATCTTTGATAAAAAGAAAAAAAAAGCAAATAGGTTAATATATTTTTCTTTTCAGCAAAATAGTTCTAAAAGATGACAAATACATACATGAATGAATGAATGAATTAATAAGTAAGTTTGAGAACCAGTACTGTATAATTATAAATGAACATACCAATATAAATGTTGCAAAAAGTTTTAATTGTTAGTTCATTTGTGTTACCCAAAAAAAATGCATGTCAGAGGCTTTTCTCTTTATTTCTATGAATTTACATTTATTAACTATCATTTAAAGTTGTCACTTATTTATTATAATGCACATAATCTTCTCAGGAACTCCTCCATGCCCCTCATCAGCCCAGTCTTGACCTTTCAGATTTCGAACAGTGAGGCACAAACACTTTATTTTTGAGCCACATCAACGCACACAGCTGGTGTCTTCAGCACCTCAGTGGACTCATGGGTACCGTACTGTCGCTCTCTCCGGGTCCTCGAAAACCTGGTTATTATGATGACCGGCCCAGTTCTCTAAGCCATTACCCGAGCCTGAGCAGCCGCTCGCTGAACACTCAAAAAGACCCTAACCACAAACGCAGCCACTCCATCTTCCTCCCCGCTCTCACCTGGAAACGCCTGGTGGCCTCCACCAAGAAGCGGGGCGAGTCCAAAAAAGCCTATCCTGGAGGTCAAGGGGCTGTCGGGGCTCCTCTCAACAACAATAACATCTACCAGAATGATCCGGTCTTGCACCTCAACCGCGAAAATGTGAAGAAGTCTCTCTCCTGCGCCAATCTCACTAGCTACGATGGTCCTGCGGGTCTGGGCCTGGGCGTAGGGCTGGGTGTGGGATACGGAAAACCGCAGCAGATTTCCTCTGTTAAGAAGATCGCACCTAAATGCACCTCCTCGCCCAAGCGTGTGATCGTCCAGGCCTCGACTAGCGAGCTGCTCCGCTGCCTGGGCGAGTTTCTGTGTGGCCGCTGCTATAGGCTCAAGCATCTTTCCCCCACCGATCCGGTGCTGTGGCTGCGCTCTGTGGACCGCTCGCTCTTGCTCCAGGGCTGGCAGGACCAGGCCTTTGTGACACCAGCCAACGTGGTGTTTGTGTACATGCTGTGCCGCGATGTGGTGGATGGCGACGTGGTGTCTTCAGAGCATGAGCTCCAAGCAATTCTCCTAACCTGCCTGTACCTGTCGTATTCCTACATGGGGAATGAGATCTCGTACCCGCTCAAGCCCTTCCTGGTGGAGGCGGCTAAAGAGGCATTCTGGGACCGTTGCCTGGCCATTATCGACATCACCAGTGCCAAGATGCTGCGCATCAACGCAGACCCACATTTCTTCACACAGGTCTTTGCCGATCTGAAGAGCGAAGGAGGTTGCGCTTTGCAGGACTACGCTAGAGTTCTGGATCGGTGAAAAGAAGGATGAGGAGAATCGTCTTTGCAAATGTGACATCTCACACCATCATTCCATCATTCTGGCCCCCCATATGCCTTGTTACGTAACATTATGAGCCTTGTTTTGACCATTCTGCAAGAAACAGAAGCAACATATTCCTGCTGAAAAGATCAGCTTAGACCTGTGAGAATGTCCAGGCTGGTGTATGTTGGTTTGGTGCTGGTCTAACTGTTGAACAACACTGGTTTCGCTAGTTAAGCAGCATGCTGATGACCATCTGTGATGGTCTTTTCGGCAGGAGAAGGAAGTACAGTGAGCTTCGTGATATAGAAACAGTATGAGAATGATTTACGCTTTTAAAAACGAAGGTTCTTTATTGGCATCAATGGTTCCATGAAGAACCTTTAGCAAATTATGGAATCTTTCCATTGCACAAAAGGTTCTTTATAGTGGAAAAAAGGTTCTTTAGATTTTTAAATGTTCTCACACAAAAAAAAAAACAGTTCTTTTCAGAACGGTTCACTGAAAGGTTCTTTGGGGAACCAAAAATGGTTCGTCTTTGTCAGAGGTGTCCAATCCTGCTCCTTGAGGGCCAACGTCCTGTAGATTTTAGCTACAACCAGCTCCAGCACACTTGCCTGGAAGTTTCTAGTGAGTCTGCTGACTTTGATTTGCTGTTTCAGGCATTTGGAGCTAAATTCTGCAGGAAAGTGGCGCTTCAGGAACAGGTTTGGACACCCCTGTTCTGTGGCATCGCTGCAAAAACAACCTTTTTTTAAGAGTGTATAGTGGAAAAAGGTTCTTCAGGTTATGAAAATATTATTTATACTGAGAAACAATGGTTCTTTTTTTATAAATCGTTCACTAAAAGGTTTTTTTGTGGAACTCAAAATAATTTTTCTATCATGTCACTACAAACCCTCTTTTGGCATTCCCAACTTTGTTCTTTCTCAATCAATTCCCCTATCTTAAAAATTTAATATAGTCATAATTTAGGGATCAACATCAAAAGGAAGGGAGAGATTGTCAATCTGCATAGAAGTTTGTTAGTTACGCTGTTGTCAAACCAACCTTTTTAAAAAATAGTTACGATTCCTTTACTAAACATTTCAGTTCCTCTACCTTTATGACATCTAGTTTGAGAGAAACTGCAACAGAAACCATCCAACAAAGAGCATTTTAGCGGGTGTGTGTGATGGGTGAACCAGTGAGCATCAACAGCTGTTGGTTATCATGTTGTCCTTCCTTTATTTCATGTGCTGGAAGTTGGGGCAGCAGCTGCAATGGCATTAACAAGATTAACAGATTAGAGCAGGGACAGCAGCATGTGGCACGGCAAGCACTCGTTAATCTTATTGTGGCGTTTTAAGGCAGGGCCATGGGCACCATACTCCAGCTCCCCTGCAAAAGCCGACTTTAAACGCATACTTCAGCCCACACACGCTCTCACATATGAGCACACATGCTCGCTGAAACGACCTGTAACCACTACGCATACATCATTAAAAATGTGTAAATTACAAATATATTTAAATACATGACATACAAGTTTAATAACTTATTGTCTGTATAATTTGCAATTCTAAAAATGGTTAGTGTAAATGTACTGCAAAATGTGGTGACACATTTATGAAACTCAAGTATTTAAATATATTTGTTATATTAAACTATAATACAGTTTCATTTAGTATGGTAAAGTGTACTTTACTCCATGAAATTCAGATTGGAAAGGCTTTTAGTCCATTTTTTTTTTTGCTTTGAACCATATATATGATAATGTTCCCCAATAAACTGGCAGAATAGCTTTTAGCAGATATACAAATTTAAAATTCACAGCCTTTCCCTTCCAAAAAAACCATAAAAATAAATATTGATGACTCACTTGGTCTATTTTTTCCGATCTAATGCTCTCTAGAATGAGATAGTCCCAGCTAAAACCACATTCTTCTAACTATGATCTAAACCAAATTCCGCGTTTTTAAAAAAAAGAACAACCCTTTGATATGTCCTGCCATAACTTCCTGTTTCAACAGGATATGTCAATAAAAAAGAATACAATTGTGATTGTATATCCAACTTTTTATGAGATCTTTAGCTTTTTTGTATGGCAGGTGCACCGATATCAAGAGAACACATTTTGAAATAAGACCACGTACACTCAGAGTTGTTTTCCTCGATTTGTAACAGGCTTAATAGCAGACTGCTTAGTCGTACTCCATAACTTTCCCTTGCTAAACAGCAGGGAAGACACAGTTGCATAAAGGAAGTTCCTATAAAGAGAGTCAGTGTGTCTACAGATTTCAATTTCAGCCTCTAGTCATTTCCATTTCAGCCTCAGGGGAGGATGTTATTTACAGGAACGTGTGGCCACAGACAAGCGGTTGGCATACTATAGGGTGTAAATATCCCTGCTGATCCGCTGTGATTCCCCCATCCTTCTCGCTTTTCACAAACACATCACTTGTTTTCCTTGCCTCGGTTAAAGTGATTTATTTTGGCCTTATTGTGTACAGAGAGCGCTGACAGAGCACCGTTGTTGCATAGCTATCGTGCGCAGCCTTAGCAATGGGCTTGTGTGACGTGAACTAGTCTGCTGTGTTTCTATCTAGAACTGTTTGCACTCACACTCTCCTGTCTGGCTCGCCACCGTAGAACTGTTTCTCCATTGTTTCTCACCCATGTGTACTGGATTTCTCTGGAATATTTGCTGCCTTCAAGCCCTTTGGGAAGTTCCTACTTTTTAGTTTATACATTGTATTTATGACATGATGTACATTCACATTATTGGTTGGAATGAAGTTGATTCGTTGGGCAATTTTCTTGTTTTTCACTTCCTGACAATATAAAGGAAGCGTAACATGTAACACATTAGCTTTATCGCTAATCCCCATCAGCTTATAAAAAAATGCATACAAACTAAAGTTTATAAATGATAAATTCATTGACACAGCCTCCACTCAGAAAGCAAGAGTTTCTACTCATAATTATGACACTGTAGTGGCATTCATGAGCTTATCTCATAATTATGAAATGTTTTGAAGGCAGCAAGTATTCTAGTTTCCATACTTGCTCTGAACTTGTAATGAATGATGATAAATATTTCAGATGTGAAACGTTTGTGCCTTGATCTGGATTTAAACTCTCGTCCTAAATCTTAGCAATACTGAATATTGCTTTGGTTAAAGCACACACTCACTTTGAGTCACATGACTCAAAAAGGATTGATTATAGAGACAGAAACTTTGATTTACTCAGGCTAGAATAATCATAACTCATGAGCCATTTTCCACTCCCATCAATGCTACTGTTTTGATCATTTCCTATGTTGCCAGTCAATCAAATGGACCTGAAACCATGTGCAAACACCTTTGAAGGATGCGCTTGCACAAACGTCCTTTTTACACCTCAAACACTTCATTGATTGCTGTATGTGGAGATTTTTAATGTGACAAAACAAGCAGACAGAGACCTCAAATCCCTATGGATTTTACAACAAAGAAAACTTGTGTCCTTAAACAGACATGAACTTCTGGAAGGGACAACTGGCATGTGGTTTTCAAGTTTTAGACTACTGAATTAAGACACTACAACATGTCGATGGACACTCAGGATCTGGATGTTAAGTAGACTCTATTGAACACTGCAAGTTGCCGTTACTCTATGAGTTACGACTACTAAGATTTATCAGTGTTTTCAATGCTGCTAAATGTATGTAGAATACAAAAGAAACGTCGTGTACAGTCTGGATACAGAGACATATCCAGTTTGGTGTAAATATGTTGCTTGTATCAATGTGAAATGTCTGAAAAAATGCATGTATATCATTCAGGAATTGCTACTGTGGTGGCACATGCATATATTGTAGCTCACAGAGTGATGCTGTTGTTGTTTGGAAAACTTGAAATATATAAAAAAAAAAATAATAATTAAATGTGACTTTTAATGGTGGAATTTCCTTTTTTAAGTTTGATTATAATTATTTAATAAAGTATTCAAATGATGTGTCTGTGCTTTGTTACTGATCTTATGAAACAAATTGTTACAAATCTCATGAAACAAATTCTTTGATTAAATAAAGATTCTATTTCGTCATAAAATTGTATTTTGCATAAAGAAAATTAAGCCTATTTTTAGGACCATTCAAATTTTTGGTATCATGATATTATTGTTATGTCAATAAAGTTAATTTCTCCATTAAATTCTTATTACTATGCAATGTGAAAAAAACAATAATATTAAAATAAAAAATATAATAAATATTACATAGTAAATAAAGTATTATACATTATGGTAAAGTATGTGTAAAGTATTATGTGTAAAGTATTTATAGCTTTCATTAAGGGATATTTATTAGTTTATGCTTATTTACAGTTTTTCTCATTCGATTTGACACATTTCTCCAAACTCAGGTATCTGTTCTCAAAAGTTTACACTTATAATTATACAAACAGATTGAAAGTTTTCATTAATTTCAAATCATGCAAATAATTTTATCAAAACACTGTGAACAAAACTCTCAAATGTTTTCATAATAGTTAAAACAACCAAACAATACTTAAAAAAAAACAAAATAAAAAACAATTGTATCTCCTTTTATTGGTTGTACACAAATCACAAACATTTGTCCTAACACAAACAAATATAGGCTCATAAATAATTAACAAATCATACAAAATTGCGTTGCAGCAAATCCTTTAAATTTTAAGGTATTCAGAACAGAGCAACATAAAAATCAGAAAAAGCAGCTATACAATTATAGGACAAAGTTTTACATATATGACATTATAATTTGTGTTTTATTTTTTAATTGTACAGAATTATAATCGGGCCTGTTTTAGGTTTTGATTTGAATTATTTCGTTTTAAAGTAGTAATTTAAAGCTTTCTATATATTTTTATCATGTCTGTGAGGCAATTCGCTGAGTTTAGGTTTATCATTGTGAAGCGCTCCTGTTCAAGACCGAGACGGCAGAAAGCATTTGTTTTCTTTATTTTATAAAAGCACAAGGTTTTGTTGATATTGTGAGTGCACACAAATAAAACTAGACCCTTTACAGTTTAGAATGATTATGTATTACTCTTACATTTATGAGCAAAAATGACTGCGTATTTTAAGTTGTT